GGACAGTGGTGGTGGGAGGGGCTCGTCTCCCTTCCCGATGCGGGGTGGGGGGCGTGGGGTTGTGGTTGGTGGCCTAGAGGGTGTGTGGGGGCATCGGGGAGTGGGGCAGAGGCTGGAGTTGTCCATGTCTGGGAGTGGAGCAGGTGGCCCTACAGATGACCACAGGAAACGCCCACGGGTGCCGCAGGAGGTGCTGGAGAATGCTTGTCCCTGAGGCTGCATCTGGCCCACCAGGAACAATTTCAGTTCACATGTTAGGTAGGAGAGAAGGGCTTTTATTTTTTATTTATTTATTTATTTTTTGACAGAGTGGACAGTGAGAGAGAGAAACAGAGAGAAAGGTCTTCCTTTGCTGTTGGTTCACCCTCCAATGGCCGCCGCGGCCAGCATGGTGCGGCCGGCGCACCGCGCTGATCTAAAGCCAGGAGCCAGGTGCTTCTCCTGGTCTCCCATGGGGTGCAGGGCCCAAGCACTTGGGCCATCCTCCACTGCACTCCCGGGCCACAGCAGAGAGCTGGCCTGGAAGAGGGGCAACCGGGACAGAATCCGGCACCCCGACTGGGACTAGAACCTGGTGTGCCGGCACCGCAAGGCGGAGGATTAGCCTAGTCAGCCACGGCGCCGGCCATGGTTTTTATTTTTAAAAATTACATTTTATTTATTTTAAAGGTAGAGACAGGTCTTCCATCTGCTGGTTCACTCCCCAAATGACTTCAACAGCCAGAGCTGGGCCAGGCCAAAGCCGGGAACCAGGAACCCCATTCAGGTCTCATACATGGTGGAAGGGACCCAGCTACTTGGAGCACCATCTGGTGCCTCCCAGGGCACATTGGCAGGAAACCTAACTCGTAAGTGGAGTAGCCAGCGCGTCTTACTCACTGGGCCAAACGCCTGCCCTGCGCCTAGTAGCTTTGGATGCACGTGAGGCCTTTGATGAAATCTGGGGACAGCCCCCTGGGCCACCTGGGGACATGGCCAGCGTAGGTACTGCCCGTGAAGACGCTCCTTACAAAGGGTTTTCTCTTGGTTGTCAGCCTGTGGCCGTGTGGAAGCTCTGTCTTGGCTTCATGCCGCTCGTGATGTGGCCTCGTATCTCTGGTGCTGGCTGGGAGAGCAGCAGGCCTGAGACCCCAGGAGCTCCCTGAGGCTGAGCAAACCATGGGCCAGAGGGAGGGAGCCTGCTGGGCACAGGAGAAGCAATGCTTGGGCCTGGCTGGGCACACGTGAGCACGGCCTTGTCCCTGCTGGCTGCAGGCTCCACATGGGTCGGGGTGTGGGCTCTGTCCCATTGATAGACAGTCAGAATGTGACACTACTGTTTCCTGATAAGCTGTGGGGCCGCCTTCTCAGACCCCACGGGCTCCCACTTTTGGGTTCTGCAGTTTGGGGAACTTTTATTTCTTTTGTAATTTTTCTCCCCTCTATCTTTTTTTTTTTTTAAAGATTTATTTATTTCAAAGGCAAAGTTACAGGGAGGCAGAGGCAGAGAGAGAAAGAGGTCTTCCATCCACTGGTTCACCCCCCAAATGGCTGCAACAGCCAGAGTTGGGCCAATCCAAAGCCAGGAGCCAGGAGCTTCTTCCGGGTCTCCCATGAGGGTGCAGGGGCCCAAGCACTTGGGCCATCCTCCACTGCTTTCCCAGGCCACAGCAGAGAGCTGGATCGGAAGTGGAGCAGCCGGGACTTGAACCAGCACTTATATGGGATATCAGCTCCACAGAAGCAGGCTTAGTCCACCGTGCTTTAGCCGCTACACCCCATGCAGGCCTGTCTCCCTCTGTCTTTCTACTCCCTTTATGGAGTTTATTGGATTTTCACCTCCTGGGTTGCTCCGTTTCTCTCCACTTTCTTATTATTGCTGTTATTATCCATCTCTTTATGTTTCTGTTCTACTTTCTGGAAGGTTCCTCTGGAGCTTGTATTGAGTTTTTAATTTCACTATTGACCATCTTCCTTCCTTCCTTCCTTTTAATTTATTTATTTATTTTATTTGAAAGTCAGAAATACAGAGAGAGGGAGGGAGAGAGAGAGATCTTCCATCTGCTGGTTCACTCCCTAAATAGCTACAAGGGCCAAGGCTGGGCCAGGCTGAAGCCAGGAGCCAGGAGCCAGGAGCTTCTTCTGGGTCTCCCATGTGGGTTTAGTGCCCCAAGCACATGGACCGTTTTCTGCTGCTTTCCCAGACACGTTAGCAGGGAGCTGGCTCGGAAGTGGAGTAGCCAGGACTTGAACCTGCGCTTATATGGAGTCCTGGCACTGCAGGCAGAGGCTTAACCTACTATGCCACAGCGCCAGCCCTGATCTTGTTCATTTCTAAGAGTTTGTTTTTGTCCCCTGAACATTTGTTTTTTAAAAGCAGCATTATGGGAGTGGGTGTTTGGTGCAGTGGCTCAGTCACGGCTTGGGACGCCTATGTCCTCCAATCCAGCTTCCTGGTAATGCACAGCCTGGGACACAGAGCTGATGGCTCAAGTACCTGGGTCCCCGCCACCCGCCTGGGGGACCTGGATGGAGTTCGTGGTTCCTGGCTTCAGCCTGGCGCAGTTCCAGCTATGTCAGGCATCTTTGGGAGTGAACCAGTGGATGGAAGATCCCTGTGTCTGTCTCTGCCGTAAAAATAAAATGAAAATAAATAAATAAAATAACATTATGTCATATCTTGGTACGGTCTCATGTTCGTCTTCTTGTCCCTGCATTATCTGTGGGTTTCTGGATTTTATTTGTGTATTTTGTCTCTTTCCCTGCCATTCAGCCTTCCTCCAGTGTCTAATACCCTTGCTTGGTTCTTGTTTGAATGTCAAAGACTCCATCTTTGCTGTCTGGCAGGCAGGTACGCAGCTGGGGACACGAAGTTTTATTGGGGACCTTGGAATTTAAAACCTGAAGGTGCCGCCCTCCACTCCCAGGTCATTTGGTTTTTCCGGAAAACACTGTAGTGGTGTCCTGCCTCGTACACCAGGGTTCTTAGTGCCAAGTGTGAGACGAGGACTCAGCCTTCTGGTCATTCCATAAGTTATCTCTTTTATTCCAGGCTCCTTTTTAACCACGATTTGCCAGATTTGGCATGTGGACCCCTGCGGGGGCAGGGCAGGGTGATGGGTGGGCTGCCTGGGCTCGGGGGGAGATCTGGGGGCTTACCTGTTCCTCCTGCGGGAGGGGAGCCCAGCTCTGTGCCGCAGGTGCGCAGTGGCTGCCGCTCCTGAGCCCGTCGTGCGCCCTGGTTTCTCAGCTGCTCCCAGCTCGCAGCGTTTCCCTTTCTCGCCTGTCTGGTGCCGTCTGATCCCATCTGTCCCCTTCCTTCTCCCGCAAATGAGTTTGCCTCACGCTGTCCTTTTCTGTCCTCTTCTCTTTGTTCTGCAGTGTTTGTATCTTTCTTAGAAATTACTTTCACAAGGGCCTCTCAAAAAGTTTGCAGGAAAATGGAATTAAAAGGTCAGTTGGGGGGCGGGCATTTGGCACAGCGCTTTAGGCACCCGTTAGGATGCCCACGTCCCACACAGCAGTGTCTGGGCTCAGTGCTGACTCCACTCCTGACCCAGCCTCCTGCTAGTGCGCACCCTGGGAGGCAGCGTGGTGGCTCAGGTGGTTGGGCCCCTGCCATCCACGTGGGATCTCGATGGAGTTCCAGACACCCAGATTTGGTGGGGCCCAGCCCCAGCTGTTTTGGGCATTTGGGGAGTGAACCAGTGGGTGGAGGATCTCTGTTTCTGCCTCTCTTCTCTCTGCCTTTCAAATAAATGACTTAGTGTAGAGACAAAGCCTTGCTCCTGCGTCCTATCGAAGGCTGTGCACGGATCCCCTGTGGTGTCTGCTGCTTCCCTCCTCCCCCCTTGTTGGGCGGATAGAATTTTCTTCTGCTAGTTTGGAAGTTAGATGCTCCTCTAGGTGATTGTGCCCCACACTTGACCTTGTGTCTTTCCCCACGGGGAAGATGAGACCCACGGCAGTGCCCTGTGCCGCGGCCTCTCTGGGGCTGGGTGCTGCAGAGGCGTTTCGCTCAGGGCTGGACGAGGCTTGTTGGGGCTGTGCGCGGCCATGCCAGCACTCCGAGGGGCTTGGTTTAAAGGGCCCCTCCCCGACGTCCCTGAGGTTTGTACAAGGCCTGTGGAGGGAAGACGCTCGTGGGAGTGAGGTGGAGAATGGATGGGTCACCTCCTGCACTGCTTCCTCCCAGACTTCTGCTTCCTGCTCCCAGGTGCTGTCCAGAGCTCGCTGACCGCTCAGGCCCGGAGCTGAGTTGGCACAGGCATGGCACGCCCCAGCCGCGAGGCCGCCCTTGCTCAGTGCCCCCAGGTCAGCGAGTAGGGAAATGGGGCCAGCAGCCCTCAGGCTGTCAGCCTTTCGTGGGAGCCAGGAAGTTCAGTTTTCTACATGAAGCCTTCCAATCTGTGTTGGCTCAAAGCAGGTCCCCAGCGTGACTGCGCGCCCACTGCTCTGCTCCTGGGCGGGCGTCCCCTCCCGACACGCTGGGGACACGCTTTCCTTCTCCCTTCCCCTCCCAGCCTGGTAGTCTGACCGCACGTCTCACACACGCAGACGCTGCCCCGTGCTGTGTGGGCGATTTATGAGTAAACGATGGGCGTGTGGAGGCCGCTGAGAGCAGGCCCCCTTCCCAGGATTCCTTGTTCCTAGAAGCACCCAGAGGCCTCTGCTGCTTTCTCACTGGGGCTGGGGTGTGACTGCGGGGCCAGACCAGCTCCCAGTGCCTTGCCTGCAGAGGGCAGGGCTGCCATGTGCTGGACTCGGGCCCCGTGAGGCCACCGCAGCGGCTTGAGCTTTCTCCCTGTCACCAGCCTGCTCAGCCTGCCACCCACTGTGCCCGGGCAGCGGGGCATGCTGCTCCCTGAGCACCGGTTGGCGGGCACGGGTGCACCTGGGAGGGCCTGACCTCGGGTGACAGACGCGGGCTGGCTGCTGTTGCAGCCCTCTGCCCCGACGGCCCCCAGGCCTGCGGGTCTGACGGTTTCTCCCCTCCTTCCTCCACTGGTGCTTGGTGACAGCTGGAAGTTGCAGTGGTCACAACTGAGAGAGCCAAACACTTCTACAGCCCCCAGGACGTGGCCGTCACCCTCTACAGCGACGCTGACGAGTGGGAGGTCAGTGCGGGTGCGTTCCCACCAGCAGGGGCAGGACAGCCCTCCCTGCAGCTGGGCTGGGCTCCCGTCAGCGGTCAGGGCCATCTGGGCAGAGACGGCGAGGAAAACATCTGTCCGGCTGCTGGCCTGCGGGCGGAGCTCAGCCTGGCCAGGTGCCCGGGGTCGAGTGTCCTTGTACTTATCTGGCCTGGTGAAGCCACAGAGCCGCTCTGTTCCCACCACCCTGGTCCACGTGGCTCCTGGCGTCAGCGCCTCACTTCCCACGGCCGCCGGGCCCATTCACCAGACGCCGAGCAGGGCCTCCCAGGGGTGCCCTGCCAGGCGATTTTAAACATTCTCAGCCCAGAACATTTCTGGCTGGCCTGCCTCCCCCACCCCGCCCTGGGGCCCTTCTGCTGGCTTGGACAGCCCAAGCATCCGCCTCCAGCCCGGCGGGAGATCCCTGCCAGATGTCAGCGCTCTGGAAAACCAAGCCATAGAGGGAATGGCTGGGAGACAAGGGGCATTTGTCTCTTAGGGCCTGGCTTCTCTCAGGCCCCGCTTAGCTGTGGGAGGGATGCGGGCCCCTGACCTACTGTGCCTGGCCCCTCTCCCCGACACACACGCTGAGAGAGTGGCCATCTCGGTGACCCCGCCCCCTTCCCTCGGCCAGATGTGGAAGCAGCGCTGTGACCCTGTGCTGCACATTGACCTGCGGAGGTGGGCCGACCTCATGCTGGTGGCCCCGCTGGACGCCAACACCCTGGGGAAGGTGGCCAGCGGCATCTGTGACAACTTGCTTGTGAGTGACCTCCCGTGCCCTCCCCTCTGCCCGGGCCTGCTAAGCTGCAGACTTCTGGTGCAAGGAGCCTCTTCCGTGGGCCGGGGCCTGCCTCACTGTCTGTGCAGCAAGTGGTCCCGGGGTCCCTGGAGGGGCTGCACCTTAGCACTCAGCCCTGCCTGGGCTGCCCCTGCCCTGCGCTGCCGCTGGGCTCCCTGCCTGGCCCACGGCCTCCCCGTCAGCTCTGGACACGCATGAGGCCGAGCTGAGAGGGGGTGGACTTCCGCAGGGGTCTCTTGTGCACAGTGAGGCCGAGACACGGTGTTCCCGTCTGTTAGGGGGAGCTTAGCGGGAGCAGCAGACGGCGGGCGGGGGGAGCTGGCGGGCGTCCAGCCGTGCAGAGCGGGTGCTGTGTCGGACCTGCAGCCTCCCGGGAGCTGGCGTCCTGGGAGCTGCCCTTGCTTCTGTGGTCGTCCTGGAAGATCTGAGTGCGAGCTCTCCCCTGCCGTGAGACACGGCACTCACGATCGGAAGGCACGCTCACCCGCGCCCCAGCCAGCAGTACGGTCCTGCGAGGCCCTGTCGGGCACCCTGGTGTCGTGCGGGCGTGGGAGGCGAGTAGTGACTCCACTTTCACAGACAGCCCGCAGTTCTGAGCTCGATTTGGGAAAGAACGGGAGTCGTGACGCGGAGGCGGGGCTTGGGGTCAGATGCACGGTTTGTGTCCTTGCCCGCTTGCCAGTGGGCTCTGCAGTGTCAGCCTCGTCTGAGGCAGGGCTTGGGGCGAGCAGGGCGCCCACGCCGTGTGCTGCAGGAGAGCTGGCCCCTGGAGGCCACGCCGTGTGCTGCAGGACAGCTGGCCTCGGAGGCACCAGGAGCGCTTCCTGGCGGGGCTGCTCCTGGGGCCTGCAGGTGAGGCGCCCAGTCCTGCTCATCACAGAGGGGTCAGCGTGTGTGACCAGCCTGACCCACAAGTCCCAGGCCTCCCACTGGCTGCCCAGCTGCCTCCCGTATGACAAAGCTCGCTGACCTCAAGGACCTCTCCCTTCCTTTTTCCTTCAAAGCTGCTGCCACCCTGAACTCAGGACACCCCCCCCCCCCAGCTGGCAGGCACGAGGCTCACGAAGCTTGAACTGGTGTCCTCGCTCAGTGGCACTCACCGCATGCCCCCTGCAGGGCCCCCCGCCTGCTGTCTCCCTCCCCACCTCTTCTCCCTTCCAGTCCAGACCCTGGGATGCCAGGGGAGCCTGCTAGGAGTGGGCCTGTGCCCCTTGCCTCCGTGCCTGCCTTCTGGCCCATGCAGGCCCCGGCCTGTCCTGTGCCACACAAGCAGGCAGATCTAGAGAGAGGAGGTGACTTCCCAGCATGGAACGTGCAGCTGGGAGCGGGCTGTTGGCTGAGCACCAGCCCTTTGGTGTCTGGTTGGATTCCTGGGTGCAGAACCAGAGGCGCAGGACACAGATAGGAGTGGCCGTGTGAGCCAGTGACTTCCTCTCCTCCCTCCTGCTGCCAGTGGGTGACAGGCAGGGTGGCAGGCAGGTGGCTCAGAGGAGCCGTGGGCTGCCCAGGAAGTGCTGCTGTCCAAGGTGAGGTAGGGAGAGCTTGCTGTGCTGGGCTTTGAAGAGGGCACCTAGGAGCCCCCACTCAGCCCCCCACCCCACAGCGCTAGGGCAGCAGCAGGTGGCTGGGGCCAGGAGGAAGTGCAACCGAAACCGGCCACTCACAGCCCAGCTGCTGTGTTGCCAGCACTGGGTGGGAAACCGACGCTGTGTCTGAGATGACGCAGGCAGTAGGTCTGGGGCTGTGTGGGACAGAACTTCCTTCCTGTCCCCAGGGGAGGGCAAGGGCACCTAGGGCAGCTGTGGTCCTGGCCTGTTGGTAGCATTCCCAGATGGGCCGCACTGCAGGGGGGTTTCATGTCCAGGGAGGAGGCGCCTGCAGCCGTTGGTGCCTGGGGGAGCCCGCTCCCTCCTGGGGCAGCCCCCGGCCCAGGGAGCCTGTGTCTGGCAACCACAGGAACTGCTTGAGGGCCGGGGCCTCGCGCCAGCCCTTGCTGTGAGCCCTGACAGCCTCTCGCCCGCAGGCCTTGCAGCTACACAGGAAGGACTCTGAGGGAGGGGCTGCGCCCCCCAGCCCGTGAGAGGAGGCACAGCCAGGTCTCTGTGAGCTGCTGGGGTCTGGCTTCGGGGGGCAGTGGGGTTTTGCAGGGTGGTGGAGGAGGGCAGAGGAGCACAGGGTCGCCTTCAGCGCTCGCCTGTCAGGGAGCTGCAGCTTGCCCGGCTGCGGTGGGGCAGCTCCTCTGTGAGGGTCGCGGTGAGGGTTCCGAGGGAAGTGTGAGTGTCTGAGAAGGTTCTTGGCAGCGCCAGGTGGCCTAGAAGCAGAGCTGATGCAGGCAGTCTGCTCCAGAGGAGGTGTGAGCCCAGGGCTCAGGCTCAGGCTGGGGCACAGGGAGCCTTCCTGCAGAGGACAGGGGGCCTGCCTGGAGGGGGCCGGGCCGCTGGCAGTATTGCCCGAGCACCTCCTGTGGGGGGCCAGGGGGCCCGCCAGCCAGCTAGCTAGCTGCCTGCCGATAGGCTGCACCGGGCCCCTGCAGCCTGGGGCTGCACTGCTGGTGCAGGGCCCAGAGGACGAGGTGGGTGGCGGCAGACCCGCAGGACCCCCGCCCCGCCTCCTTCACAGACCTGTGTCATCCGGGCCTGGGACCGCAGCAAGCCCCTGCTCTTCTGCCCGGCAATGAACACGGCCATGTGGGAGCACCCAATCACCGCCCAGCAGGTGGACCAGCTCAAGGCCTTCGGCTACATCGAGATCCCCTGCGTGGCAAAGAAGCTGGTGTGTGGAGACCAAGGTGGGCGTCTCACCAGCCTCACAGCCTGGCCGCAGAAGGGCTTGTGATGGTGGCAAAATCGCCCCCCTCACTGGACCTTGGGAGTCGCCAGAGTGGTCGGGATGAACGTCACGGGCAGGGCCTGGTGGAGTCCCTGGCACGCAGCCCCATCCCAGGGCCTGTGCTGTGCTGTCCAGGAAGGATTCCAGGGGTGGCTTAGGCAAACGCACTGGCCTGGCCTTGGGCTCTGGGTAGGGTACCTGGCGGAACCCTGGGAGGGGCTGTGGGCCCCATCTGGCAAGTCCTTGGCCATAGCAGAACTTTGCTCCCAGGTCTGGGGGCCATGGCGGAGGTGGAGACCATTGTGGACAAAGTGAGAGAAATCCTGTCCCAGCACGATGGCGTCCAGCACGGTTGAACTGGGGTTTCCGTGCCGTGTGACCTCTTCTCCTGGCCGAGCTGTGAAGGAGGGAGGCGTCCACCCTTGGTGAAGAGGCCCATGTTTGCTGAGCAGGGCTCTGACCTGGGCCTGCCCTGGAGCTGCCCCAGGCCCTGGCCTGCTCCTGGCTACACTGCATCAGAGGCTTTGGGCCTGGCTTCTCCCAGAGGACGCCTGCTGCCTGCAGCCCCTCCCGCCTGTTCCCAGAGTGGTGCCGTGACGGTGGCTGTGTTGTCCCTGTGCTCCTGGGTGCAGGACTCAGTGACAGGAGACCTGGGGGTCCTGGCGGGGTGGGTCACTTGGTGAGGGGCCTAAGTGCCCGCCAGCAGGATGTGGTGTCCACTGACCGTGCTGTGAACCTGGGGTGCTGGGAATAAACAGTGACCTTCTCGGGAAGGTCTGGGCTGACGCTGGCTGGCCGATGCTCCTTCGTCCCGTCCCCTGCTCGAGTCAGTGCGCCCTGCTGACCCCGACTGGCTCTTCTTCTTCACCGTCCTACGCTCGTGGAGGTGTGGGGAGGACCGAGGGAGAGAAAATGCGTGGAGTACAGCAGCCCCCGGCCCCGCCCCAGCGCCTGCCTGGAGCCTCGAGGCCTGAACCCCTCATGCTGTTTCCTCCTGGACCCACATTGCTTTCTGCAAGCACAGGTGAGCGGCCAGCGGGGCTGGACCTGCCTGGGCCCCCGGTGCCTGTGTGCGTCCTGGGCTCCTCTGCTGTCCTGCTCCTGAGACGGGGCTGGGTGTCTGGGCCCCTTCCCCCCAGCTCACATAAATGGGGAGGAGGCCCCAGCGAGACCACAGCCCCTGCTGCCCTGCATCTGAGCTCACGGCTGTTTGGCTGTACTGTGCAGTCGGGAGCTGGGGGTGGGGCTGGCTTCCAGATCAGGCATGGGGGATACCCCGTCCCGTCCCAAGAGCCCCGAGACTGGAGCTGCCTCCAGAGCCGCCAGGACACCACTGGCCAGGACCAAGGCCTCCGCTACCTCCAGCAGCTCTCCCCTCTACGGCACCTGACAGGACGAGTGGTGCTGTGGGATAGAATTGCCTTCAGGCGCCGAAGAAGACAGAACTAACGTGTAGCATAAAGCCCCTCTGGAGGCCGGTGTTGTGGTACAGTGAGCTAGGTGTGCCCGTGACGCCAGCATCCCCTGTGAGAGCGCGGGCTCCAGTCCTGGCTGCTCAGCCCCTGATCCAGCTCCCTGCTGATGCCCTTGGGAAGGCGACAGAAGTGGACACAGTGCTTGGGCCCCAGCCGCCCACATGGGAGACCTGGGCGGAGCTATGGGCTCCCGGCTTCGGCCTCAGTCTCAGCGGGAGTGAGCCAGTGGGTGGAAGATCTCTGTCTCTCTGTCTCTTACCCCGTCTTTTAAATAAATAATAAATCTTGGGGGAAAACAAACTACCTCAAGAGGCAACGTTTGGGCAGCAGTTAAGGCTGTGCTTGGGCGCTGCGTCCCTTGTCAGAGAGCCTGGGTCCTGGCCGTGCATTGGGTTGGAGCTTCCTGGAATCGGGTCGGGGTGAAGGGTGGGATGTGGCACGGGGACACAGTGACAAACCCAGGGGTGGGGGCTCCAGCTGGCCCTCGTCACTTGGAAATCGCTGTCCTCCCAGTCAGCCAGGCTCGGTCCTACTGAGCAGCCGCAGCTGTTTCAGAGCCAAGGCCTGCACACTGCTCTGCTCTGGCCCGCGGCGCGGTCCCCCCGCGACTCCCTGCAGAGCCCGGCCTGGAGTGTCGCTCCCCCTCTTCGTGGAGGAGCAACACAGGACCCTGCGCTGTTCTTTCGTCTGCTCGGCCCTCCCCGGGTTTGCTGCTGGTTCTTCCCGGGTTGGCTACTATCCGTTCCACCTCCGTGGAAGGGCAGTTCCCCCTGGCCACATTCCCCACTTCCACAGGGGAGCGGCACACCGCCGGCCGGCTCTCTCGGGGGCTGCACAGGTGTTCCTTCAGCTAGATGTTCCCCTTAGATGTTCCTCGTGCATGCCATCTCTCTCCTCCTTTATAGTCCTCTTCCACCAATCCCAACTCGGCTGCCCACACGCCGAGTACGCTGCTCTCCTCCAATCAGGAGCAAGTCCTACAGTTTATTAGCTGAACTGGAGGCAGCTGTGTAGAAGCTGTTTACTTCTCTCCCAGCGCCATATTGTGGGAGAGCAGATGCATAGAATAAGTCTTAATTCCAGTAACCTAGTCCAGTCCGGATTGCTCCCCACACTGGAGCCCTGCACACAGCAGGCACGGGGTGACCACGGTCCCCCCGCGACTCCCTGCGGAGCCCGGCCTGGAGCCCTGCACACAGCAGGCACGGGGTGACCACGGTCCCCCCGCGACTCCCTGCGGAGCCCGGCCTGGAGCCCTGCACACAGCAGGCACGGGGTGACCACGGTCCCCCCGCGACTCCCTGCGGAGCCCGGCCTGGAGCCCTGCACACAGCAGGCACGGGGTGACCTCGGTCCCCCAGCGACTCCCTGCGGAGCCCGGCCTGGAGCCCTGCACACAGCAGGCACGGGGTGACCACGGTCCCCCCGCGACTCCCTGCGGAGCCCGACCTGGAGCCCTGCACACAGCAGGCACGGGGTGACCACGGTCCCCCCCGACTTCCTGCGGAGCCCTGCACACAGCAGGCACGGGGTGACCATGGTCCCCCCGCGACTCCCTGTGGAGCCCGACCTGGAGCCCTGCACACAGCAGGCACGGGGTGACCACGGTCCCCCTGCGACTCCCTGTGGAGCCCGGCCTGGAGCCCTGCACACAGCAGGCACGGGGTGACCACCGGCCACCTCCACGGGGGCTGGAGGCAGCACCGCGGGTGCAGAGCGGCGGCAGGAGGGGAGGTGGCGCCCAGCCAGAGGGAGCTCTGGCCCTGTCTCAGGAGTGCCATTACCCACGCTCCGACACCTGACCCCAGACCAGCCAGTGCGCGGTTCTTCTGTTGCCCTTGTTTTTCTAAAAATGTTTATATGTTTATTTAAAGATTTGTTTACTTATTTGAAAGAGTTGTTATAGAGAGGGAGAGACAGAGAGCTTCCATCCATTGGTTCACTCCCCAGATGGCTGCAGCAGCGGGGGGCTGGGCCAGGCTGAAGCCAGGAGCCAGGAGCTTCTGCCAGGCCTCCCATGCGAGTGCAGGGGCCCAAGCACTTAGGCCATCCTCCACTCCTTCCCCAGACCGTTAGCAGGGAGCTGGTCAGAAGTGGAGATGCCGGGACTTGAACCAGCGCCATGTGGAATGCTGGCCTTACCTGCTAGGGCCACAGTGCCAGCCACCAAAATTTTGTTTATTCAGGGGCCTCTGACAGCTGGGAGCCGGGAACCCAGAACCGGTTTCCCACATAGACGCCAGGGACCCAACCTTCTGAGCCACTGCCTGCTGTCTCCCAGCAGGAAGCTGGAGCCTGGAGTGGAGCTGGGGCTTGAACCATGCACTGCTGCGGGATGTGGAGGTCCCAAGTGCATCTTAACCACTTGCCAAACACTTGCACTTGCCTGCTTTGAAGGGGGGCCTGGACAGATGGGTCTGGGCAGCCGCACTTACCGCCCCGCCCCCCGTCTGCTGGGGGTACCGAGGTGGGCGGCACTGTGGCGTTCCCCACTAGGGGCCCGTGCTCCGTGTGGCCACCGTCCTGGGCGGAGTGTCCCCTAGAGAAGATGCCTGCCTTGCTGCTGCTGCTCGCGTCCTGGAAAGCTGAGAGAATGGAGCATTTGAAACACGCAGGCTCATCGGCAGCTGGGGACAGTCAGGGCTGCTGGTGAGAGGCCGCGGCGGCCCTGGCCCCGGCCCCGCCTCCACACTGCCTCCACCCTGGGCCGCCTCTGACTCCTCTGCCTGGTCAGGTCCTCGGCTGCCTCCCCACTGCCACAGGGTAAGGCCCTGATGCCCACCCTTCCAGCTTTGCCGCGGACCCCTGGCCAGCCGGGCAGGGCAGCCAGCTCTCTGGCCATACTGCACAACCTGAATGAGCACGTCACTTCTTGCCTCTTGGGTTTGCACACGTGGCTGCTTTTACTGGAAGGCCATTGCTGGCCGGGGCCCTGCCGTGCTCGCCTCCATCGGGAAGCCCTCCCTGGCCAGCTCCGGCTGGCGAGGTGTCCTTGACTCACACACATTCCTGTGTGCTCGTATGACGTTGTTATGACGCAGAACGCAGTGGCCAGCTTGCCTCGTGTCCCCCTGAAACCAGGATCTTCGGAGAGCAGGAGCTGTCTAGTTGCACAAGGAGCCCAGCCTGCCGTCCCCCGCTCATCGGAGGGCAGCACCCTTTCCTCTCTGAGCAGGACACAACCCGCCCGCCCGCGAGCCTGAAGCAGACCAATCAATCTGGCTGCAGAAGAATAAACAGTCCCGCTGAGCGGCGGCTCAAAGACAAACAGCCAATGGGGAAGTGACCTTCAGCCTTGTGGGGAGCAGGGCCCGTCCCCCGCAACATGGCGGGGCGCCCGGGAGACAAATAAGTACTGAGACTGTGGACTGAAACTAACTCTATGCGTCTG